GTATCATATACAGTGGTAAATGCAAGGTCAACATGATAAGTATCATTTACAGTAGTAAGTACAAGGTCAACAGGATAAGTATCATATACAGTGGTAAATGCAAGGTCAACATGATAAGTATCATTTACAGTAGTAAGTGCAAGGTCAACAGGATAAGTATCATATACAGTGGTAAATGCAAGGTCAACATGATAAGTATCATTTACAGTAGTAAGTGCAAGGTCAACAGGATAAGTATCATATACAGTGGTAAATGCAAGGTCAACATGATAAGTATCATTTACAGTAGTAAGTGCAAGGTCAACAGGATAAGTATCATATACAGTGGTAAATGCAAGGTCAACATGATAAGTATCATTTACAGTAGTAAGTGCAAGGTCAACAGGATAAGTATCATATACAGTGGTAAATGCAAGGTCAACAGGATAAGCATCATATCCAGTAGTAGGTGTCAAGGTCAACAGGATAAGCATCATATCCAGTAGTAGGTGTCAATGTCAACAGGATAAGTATCATATACAGTAGTAAGTGCAAGGTCAACAGGTTAAGCACCATATCATGAAGCAAGTGTTAAAGCAACAGTGTATCTATCGTTTTATTATATCTGTTTCTTCTCAATACAAACGTTTTGTTTTTATGAGACTTTCTTTAAAGAGTCCCATTTAAAAGACTCTGTTACTTATTGGAGATCAGGATAGGAGCTTCAATTATTTATGTGTGTGTTTTAAATTAGCATCTGATGTGCATATAGCAAATCTTTCCTATTTTCATATTTTCATAAGAGTTAATACAGTTTCTCTCACCATAAAATAATAAACAAAGTCTATGTCATTGATTTTTTTTTATTTTAAACTATAGATATATGCTTGAATAACAATGAGTATAATACATTATAATATTAAGAATCCCCACTAAAGCCATTTGTTTAGTATCCAAATGTTAATCAATCAAACGAAAACCTTGCCTACAATCTCTGTATAAAAAAACGAACTTCAAAACATTACAGCACTATTACCTTAATGGGAAAATAAGACGTACGTATCACATGGATTCAAAATATCAACTGCAAGGATTTATATTTTTTAACTCTGAAACCAAATGGTACCTTGTACTGCTGAAATCTATATATCGTATTTCTATGTCTAAGAAAATTTCGTAATTTCCGAAAATATTTTAATTTTCATTAAAGGTTGTGTTCAAATCATGTTTCGGACAGAGAATGATGTGAAGTAAAAAGCATTCAACATCCCTATTAGGACAGCACATACACATATAACCTTTTTTCACTATCCAGCCAAGAACAGATGCAATGAAAGTAGATTTTTCAATAAAATGTGAATGCTAACTTTTTGAAAATTAAAAAAAAAAATAATATGATCTTAACCTTTTAATCAACTGTAAGTAATAACCGTTTCACAATTAATTATACATTATCAATGGTTTTCAAACGAGAGGGTGTTTCTCAGCTACAATCTCACCGGAGGATGACAGCCCTGAGATGTGATGTGGCCGAGAAACATCCTCGAGTTCGAAAGACCATAGATAATCTGTTAATCGCTACGTATTTTGCCTATGACGTCGTTGATATTTACATTTACAACGTCACGTGCGCCCTAGTTTCTGACCATGATTTTCCATCTCAAGCGAGTAGCATGATATGAAAAATTATCACAAAAAAAGAGCAAAGGAAAAATGCACAACGCTATTTATTATATTGCCGTCTTCTTTTTGCTATGCATAAGTATGATGGGTTAAATATATTACGGTTCACTATACCTAATATTGGCTTTGACATCCTGGTTGCTTTGAAATGTAATCAAAAAGTAGATATGACGTAAACGTAAATTATACTACAACCCCTAAAGCACCACAAACAAAAGATGTCAAGAATAGATAGGTTTCTCTACAACATGTCAAGCTCTAAATCGTCCCGAGTCCAAAAAGTTTTAATCTAACACAGACAAAAACTGCCATCAACACAAAATTTTAAACAAGAGTGCACCCGATGAAATGCCTCGCCTGTTTTACTTTTCATTGAATTCATGTTGAAAATCTGTAATATGAAGGTTTTACTACAAGTATCACATAAACTTAACATTATCAATGTTCAATAGAAAAGAGGTCAAGGTCATATGAGTCATGCCAGATAGACATGCACACCTTACAATTAATCCATACACAAAATAACACCGTGTAGTACGCCACATGCGGGATGTTGGCTATATTTGACACGGGGTGGCGGTTATGAAGCGGCGAAAAGGCCAGTAAGGCCAAAATATTTTTTTGGAGAATTGTTAACACCAAATAATGTATTGCACGGAAGGAACTGAACCATAATCTATATCCAGCAAGCAGAAGCAGACATTTCCAGTGCTCCGTTTTCTCAAACACCTCTCCCTAGTTTTCCCTTGTTGCAGATTTGGAGACTTCATATGCATGTTTCAGGATATATTTTTTTCCCGTATGATTTATATAGAAATGAATTCCTATCATATATAATATAACCAAATGCCAGCTTATTAGTCAACATTTATTGTTTTTAAAGTTAATTTTTCATCGATATGTAATGTGTCGCTCGGGTGGCAGATTGTGCGTCTCAAGGGGGTGAGGCATTTATTAAAACAAGGATAGATTTGCCTATATTCGGAAAATAAAATAATGTTCAGGTATAAAACAAAATACTTCGAGGCTTTTACTCTATTTCTAACCTTAAATGCATATTACTTAAAAAACTAAAATATGGGTCAAATGAAATACCTTAAGTTATAGGCAAATCTATCTTTATTTTAATAAATGCCTCACCGCCTTGAGCCGCAAAATCTGACACCCCGAGCGATACATTACATTTCGATGAAAAAATTAAATTTAACAACAATAAATTATGAATAAGAAGCTGCCATTTGGGTTGAATTATATGAGATGAATTCATTTCTATATAAATCAAACGGGAAAAAATCGCCAAAAGTAGTTTTATCCTAAAACTTGCATATAAAGTCTCAAAATCTGTAACACGGAAAACTAGGGAGAGATGTTTGAGAAAACAGAGCACCGGAAACGTCTGCTTCTGCTTGCTGGAAATAGATGGTTCGGTTACTTCTGTGAAATGCATTATTTAGTGCTAACAATTCAAAACAGCCACCCCGTGTCAAACATAGCCAACATCCCGCATGTGGCGTTCTACATGGTGAAATATAATGGTCATATTAATAATAGTACCTTAGAAACAAAATCTTAACATTGACCAATGAATCATGAAAACGAGGTCAAGGTCATATGAATCTTGCCAAACAGACATTTACACCTTAGAATTATACCATATAACAAATATAGTTGACCCATTACTTATAGTATTTGATAAATTGGCAAAACCACAAAAAAATTACCATGTCCAATGAACCATGAAAATGAGGTTGAGATCATATTAAACCTGCCAGACAGACCTGCCAATTATTCCACACACCAAATATAGTGGCTATATTGCTTATAGTATCTGAGAAATAGACCAAACCACAAAACTAAACACTTGGAAGGAGAGTTGTCTCATTGGCACTTATACCACATCTTCTTATATCTATTGTCAAACGAACCATGATTTGAGGTAAAGGTCAAATAAAACCTGTCAGTGGGACATGAACACCTTACAATCATTCCATACACCAAATAAAGTTGACTTATTGCTCGTCATTTTAATCTTGGTCACTGATCATTGGAATAAGGTGGAGGTCAGGTGAACCCTATCTAACGGACAGACATGTAGACGTTGCAAGGAACACATTCCCAAATATAGTTATCCTTTTACTCATTTCAATTAACAAAAAAACTGTAATTCTTCTTCCAAGGAGTTACTGAACCATGAAAATAAGGTCAAGGACATTGGACATATGAAAGTTGGAAACATTGTAACATAAGGTATCTGCACACAGAGTATGACGCATCTAGGTTTTCTACCTTCTGAAATATAAAAAAGTAAAATAACAAAAATACCGAACTCCATGGAAAATTCAAAACGGAAAGTCCCTTATCAAATTGCAAAAATCAAAAGCTCAAACGCATCAAACGAATGGAAAACAACTATTATATTCCTGACTTGATACAGACATTTCCTTATGTAGAAAACGGTGAATTAAACCTGGTTTTATAGCTAACTAAACCTCTCACTTGTATGACAGTCGCGTTAAATTCTATTATATCGACAACAAAATAAAACAGACATAATAGGTAAAAATGTCAAAAATTGGGGTACAGCAGTCAACATTGTGTTTTAATCTTAATCACTATAAAAAAAAACAAATATATCAACAACGAAAAACAAAATGGCATACAGACGAAGCACATAAGCAAAAATGAAAGACATGAATACAAAAAATGACCATAGCACAATAACACAATAAGTTTACACCGTCGCCACCGCCTTCAGATTGTAATACCTATGTTCATCAAAAATGACAATACACATTTAAGTATAACCTTGATGTGGTTCTTGGCTTGGAACAGGCACTTGAACACATGAAGGATTTAAAATAGATAGAAAAGCGTTGATAGTTTATTTCATTCAAATCATGATAATGCTATTATTCTGTTGTTTCAAGATAGAAAACGAAGCAGGTACTTACTTGAAAATGCTCAGATAGATGTACTGGTACTGTAAAAACAATTAGCAAGTCATGATATATGATTACTCAACAAAACAAATCTCCTTTTTAGAATAAAAAAAATTGCTTTTTATAGTTTCATTGTATTTTAAGTCATAACAAGAGTGCACACACTGAAATGTCTCGCCTGCTTTACTGACCATTGGTTTTATGTTGAAAAAATCTGTAATATGAAGGTTTTACTACAAGTTTCACATAAACTTAACATTTTTTAAATATCCATGACAATGAGGTCTAGGCCAGATAAATCCTGTCAGACAGACATGTACACCTCACAATTATTCCATACACCAAATACAGCTGACCTATTGCTATTAGTATTTGAAAACTAGGCAAAACACAAAAATAAAGTCAAGGTCACATGAAACCTGTCTGTCTGACATGTACCCCTTACAATCATTCCACCACCACATATAGTTGACCTACTTCTTATAGTATCTGAGAAACGGACCTAATCATGTACCTTTAACCTTGATCACTGATCCATGAAATGAGGTCGAGGACAGGTGAACCCTGTCTGATGCACATGTAGACGTTGCAAGGAACCCATGTGCCAAATATAGTTATCCAATTACTCATTATAAGTAAGAAATTCACATGACAAAAAAAATTTTTTTTTTTGAAGCAGTCGTTGAACCATGAAAACGAGTTCAAGGACACCGGACATATGACAGACGTAAACTTCGTAACATAAGGTATTTGCAAAGAAGGTATCAATTATCCAGGTCATCTACCTTCTGAAATATAAAGCTTTCTACAAATAGTTCACACCGACGGATAGTGATTCCTGTTTGACATACTACGACGAAAAATACTGCGATTTTTGTCGTAGGTGAGACAAAAACTACGTCATTTTAGATTGCGAAAATTGAATTTTGTGCATTCGACTTGATATTTTTTTTTAGGAATTAGAGAGATACATTTAAAGGAGACAGCAGCATCTCATTCAATTGGTTCTTACAACTTTTCTGAATAAAACTCAGACTTTGATAAGGTTTCGTTCTGAGTCAAATCACAATCCTTATTAAACTTCTGTTGAATAGAAATTTGTTGAACCTGATTTCGACCTCGAAAACAATGCCCAACAATCGAACAACAACGACTAAAAAGTTGTTTTAGATGTTCTGAGTTTGAAGCAATTGTTAAAACAACACACACTGATACAAGTTCTTCTATCCGTAGACATGTCTGTAAAATCCACCACGGCCAAGCATCAACTGTGTTATTATTGCTGTAAACACCAAATACACCAACTGCACTGTAGATATGGGTCCCAACAATGGCTACCGACGTCGCTGACGATACGAAACATAGAACTATCAACCTTTTTATAGTGCTTGACTCTACAAAATAAACAGAAAATTTGATAATTAAGGTTAGTTTCCATTTTAGTGCAAATGAATAAAAAAGAAGATTACATACATGTACCTTCTGTGGCAGCAAACTATACAATCAAATCGTAGTTATATAATATTATTTAATCAATCCAAGAATAGTTGAATTTTTGTTATTATCTTTTTTTGTTCCATCCCTTACTTTCTAGTATTTTGTTACGCATTTTTCGAAAAACTTCTCCACGTTATGAATTTGCATGCATATTTGCCACGGGATATTTACAAAGCAACTAAGCAACCAACACATAATTTATATATGAAAAATAAACCGAATATAGTGAATTGAAAAATAGTTCCCTGATGGTCATTTTATCAAGTTCAGGTACCCTTCAAAGCTTTAAATCGACCTTACAAGGGCTTGACTACTAGTCCAGATCGTTAGATATACCGGTGTAGCAGTTTAATCCAAAGCAGAATTTTAAAGTTAGTGAGCCCATGACATACTTGTTTTGGATAAAAGCGATAATCTCATGCACTTGTATTTGATTGGGTTCCTGTGGATCAATTTTTCTGTGTAATGTTTTGTATTTTCGTTATTTATCTCTTCGTCATCACATCGTGTTAGTTTTTCTTTGATTTAACATTCTTATTTGCCCCTCGGTATATTATCCCTCTTTTAATGACATTACTGTTAACATTAACAAAAGTATGAAAAATAGATAGAAGACAAGAAATGATTGTAACAGGATGCTGTTACGAAGTCTCCCAAACGAAGCTCCCATAATTCGTAATTCCCAGGGTCGCCTGACATTGGGCAACGTCCATTGAAAATTGGTTTGGTCCAGTAAAGTTATATGCATTAGTGATGCCTGGGGACTAACCTTGTATATCATTCAAATCATCTTGGCATGACAAACCAGAATATATATGGTTTAGGGGTGGGGATCTCAACCATTTACAAGATACTAGAATATTTGGGGTGGGGAGGAACCCCTGGGGACTGGCCCTATACGTCATTCAAATGTTCATTACATGACGAACAGGAATATATATGGTTTAGGGGTGGCGATCTCAACCATTTACAAGATATTAGAACATTGGGGGTGGGGGGAACCCCTGGGGACTGACCGTATACGTCATTCAAATGTTTGAGACATGACAAATAGGAATATATATGGTTTAGGGGTGGGGATCTCGACCATTTACAAGATATTAGAACTTTCTCAAATGGCAGGGGGTCGGGATGACCCCTGGGGACTTACCCTGTATATCATTCAAATCATCTCAGCATGACAAACCAGAATATATATGGTTTAGGGGTGGGGATCTTGACCACTTAGAAGATATTAGAACTTTCTTAAATGGCAGGGGTGGGGGTGACCCCTGGGGACTTACCCTGTATAACATTTGATGTGCTTTATCATGACAAACCAGAATATATATGGTTTAGGGGTGGGGATCTCGACCATTTACAAGATATTAGAACTTTCTTAAATGGCAAGGGGTGGGGGTGACCCCTGGAGACTAACCCTGTATTTCATTTGATGTGCTTTATCATGACAAACCAGAATATATATGGTTTAGGGGTGGGGATCTCGACCATTTACAAGATATTAGAACTTTCTCAAATGGCAAGGGGTGGGGGTGACCGCTGGGGACTAACCCTGTATAACATTTGATGTGCTTTATCATGACAAACCAGAATATATATGGTTTAGGGGTGGGGATCTCGACCATTTACAAGATATTAGAACTTTCTCAAATGGCAGGGGGTCGGGATGACCCCTGGGGACTTACCCTGTATATCATTCAAATCATCTCAGCATGACAAACCAGAATATATATGGTTTAGGGGTGGGGATCTTGACCACTTAGAAGATATTAGAACTTTCTTAAATGGCAGGGGGTGGGGGTGACCCCTGGGGACTTACCCTGTATAACATTTGATGTGCTTTATCATGACAAACCAGAATATATATGGTTTAGGGGTGGGGATCTCGACCATTTACAAGATATTAGAACTTTCTTAAATGGCAGGGGGTCGGGATGACCCCTGGGGACTAACCCTGTATATCATTCAAACCATCTTAGCATAACAAACCTGAATATATATGGTTTAGGGGTGGGGATCTTGACCACTTTCAAGATATTAGAACTTTCTTAAATGGCAGGGGGTGGGGGTAACCCCTGGGGACTAACCCTGTATTTCATTTGATGTGCTTTATCATGACAAACCAGAATATATATGGTTTAGGGGTGGGGATCTCGACCATTTACAAGATATTAGAACTTTCTCAAATGGCAGGGGATCGGGATGACCCCTGGGGACTAACCATGTATATCATTCAAACCATCTTAGCATGACAAACGAGAATATATATGGTTTAGGGGTGGGGATCTTGACAACTTAGAAGATATTAGAACTTTCTTAAATGGCAGGGGGTGGGGGTGACCCCTGGGGACTAACCCTGTATTACATTTGATGTGCTTTATCATGACAAACCAGAATATATATGGTTTAGGGGTGGGGATCTCGACCATTTACAAGATATTAGAACTTTCTCAAATGACAGGGGGTGGGGATGACCCCTGGGGACTAACCCTGTATATCATTCAAACCATCTTAGCATGACAAACCAGAATATATATGGTTTAGGGGTGGGGATCTTGACCACTTACAAGGTATTAGAACTTTCTTAAATGGCAGGGGGTGGGGGTGACCCCTGGGGACTAACCCTGTATTTCATTTAATGGGCTTTATCATTTAGAACATTTTCAATTAAAAAGTTTGTGTCTATCACGAACGGTTTTCAATTTATAATCATTTGAAAATTTAAAAAAATAAAATCCCATAGGGTTCTATAGTAAAACCCTCTTTTCTTTTTGCCCCTCAAAGTATCCCTTTATAAACCCCATTGCAAAAACAAAACCCTGATTGCACCACTAGACATGTTAGTCTAACATATTGTGAAACCCTAAGTTAATCCGACAAGCGGTTTTGGAGAACGGGTGCGGACAAGTTCAAATTTCAAAGCGGCGGAAGAAGAAGAAGAAGAAGAAGAAGAAGAAGAAGAAGAATAATAATAATAATAAGAACTGAGCAAAAACAATAAGTCTTCCCAAACTTCGTTTGGGAGACTTAATTATTGATAACCGTCGGATGTCACAAAAAAGCCTGTTACAAGCTGAAGGTAGTTTGCTTTATCAGATGAAAGGAAATACATAGAATGAGAACTAACAGTGAAAAGATATTGTTATGCACATTGTTATGCACATTCTGCGACTTAAGGTTGTACGGTTACTGTTTTAAAGCAATAACATAAATGTTTCGAAGACTTTTATCTAATAGTATTAGTCTCAAACCGACTTCAATCTGATTTCATAAAATGTATAAAAAAATAAAGAGATGTTGTATGATTGCCAATGAGACAACTATCCACGAGAACCAAATGATGTAGCTGTATTAAAAAATTAAATGCAATTGAAAATTCAAATTAAATTACATAGCATTTTTAATGTAGATTTTTGTATCACGATTCACAATATCGAACGTTCTGCATATGCATGTCGAATCATTTAAATCATTGCAAACAATTTTTTAAAAAGTTGATTTTACCTACTATATTTATTGAAATGTTATGCTTTGATTTCTGACCAACAATAATTAAATCAATATTACTATTTTCATAAACAAATTGTATCGAAAGGAAGTCCAAGCAAAAATGTCAATACATTTTCATTATTTCTTTGTATATTGAAATCTTAAATTTGAACGTATCTTTTAATAAAAAATCGAAGTCATCAGAGAATGAAAATCTGAATACAATATGAACCGGATATTAATGCTAATTTTTGTAACAATTCATTTTAGCCTTATCTAATAATTTTACGGACGCCATCACGAGTTTGTTGATTGTTGTAGAATATCTGTTTCACAGATGACGACGGATATGTTCCGATTGTCGTAACCACAATATCGTCATCTCTTCCTCGAATATGACCTACCGATATAATCACCGGTAATGTACTTAAATGTGCAAAACATGACGGGTGCCACATGTATAGCAGGATCTTCTTTCCCTTCTGGATCACCTGAGATCACCCACGGTTTTTGGTGGGGTTCGTGTTCTCAGTCTTTAGTTTTTAGTGTAGTGTTTTGTGTACAGTTGTTCGTCTTTTGGTGGTTTTTTGTTTTTTGTCATTGAAATGTTAGTTTGTTTTCGACTTATGAGTTTGAATATCCCTTTGGTATCTTTTGCCTCTCTCTTGATAGATAATATTTGCGATACTGATAAAATGAGAACTGATGTTATAAAAAGTAACAAATAAAAAACCACTGGGGAAAATTGATTAGATAATGTTCTAATTGCGTTTAAAGGGCATGGAATACTGTTTCTTTAAAGATGTTCCAATTTCAATATTGGACCAGTTAGAACCAAACTTGCCCACAATCATCATTGGGTTATTAAGTTTTCAAATGTGTCCGATGTTCCCGTCTGCCAACAAGCATGGCTGACATAGGAAATACTCGAGTGTCGTTCGGTAGTACCGAGTACCGAATACCAAACTTTTACTCAACTAATCAGTTTCCCGTGAGGACATTGTCCCTTTCTTTTCATTCAATTGATTTTCTTGTGAAAGCCCCTCGGATAATTAAAAGTTATCAACGATTAAGAACGTTTCATATGTTAAGAGTGCTAAATTGTCGTTGATATGCTTAAACAAACTACCGTTTCGATATATTAACAAAGTCTCAACATATACTCTTGAAATGGTGAGCTATTCACGAGAGCAGCATTTCTAGGACGCTACTTTTTGCAAAACGTTACATCGGTACTGTCAGAGCGAATACTTCGTTTGCAATTCCGAAACCAACGCTCCCCTGAAATAGTTCTTTATCAGAACAAATTTGCCCATCCTGTGATGACCCTCACTGAATGATTAAACGCATCAGTGACTTTTAATCATCACGCCTTAATACATATATTTGCTTTACAATTACAAAATGT